CAGCTTGGCTCCATGCACACATAATAATTGGTATTTGTGAGCCTGTTCAAACAGTCTTAAATAATGGTTTAAAACTGAGCAGATATGATTTGGATTGTAAACAGCTATTAGATTTAATACCTGAAGATGGATTTTCAGTGGCTTAATTTCAGAGGCAAATAAAACTGTCACAAGGATTTAAGATTTATATTTGCAGGGGTTTTAATTCTGGGATGAAGCCGGTGAAAAAGTCATGATAGTATTCCTGGTCTGGCAGGACTCAGAAGATGATGATTGCCAGTTAACTAAAGAACTTTATTTATTGTACTTTGACTAAATGGTGGATTCTCTTAGAGTATAGCTGCCCCAGGTATCATTTTTACCCCCTCTGAATACCAGAATGCAGGTTCACTTGAAGATGGAGTCTAGAAGTGGAATGGGTGATTAAGCCTTCGCTTATCGGGCCCCTCTTTGGTAACGTTAGGATCCATAGAGAAGCTGAAAGTGAGGGCCAGCCCAGGTTTAGACCATAGACTGTATATACTATGGACAACTTGGTTCTGCCTTGCGCCAGTATACGGATTTGAAGCCAAAAAGCTCTTGGTAATTCTGCTTCCTGAAACCAACATTGCGCAGTAGCGTTGTGTGCATTCAGTGGGAGAGTCACAGAGAGTCGCTGTGATGACGTGCGGCTCAAACAACGTATCCCCCGGGTGAGCTACGCAATCTTTGTACTCCCATAGGCTGTATCAAGTATCAATCACAGAAAACATAACCCCCTCCCCCATAACTTCTAAAAATGGAGCTGTACAGAAAAAAAGAGGACTTGAACACAAACCAGTCTTACAATAACTACATGTCAACATCACAAGCAGGGGGGAGAAAAATTTATAATCTGTGTAATGAGTTTCTAAAGTTTGTCCACAGCCCTATAAGGATGACTGGCAGAGATGGGATCCATGGAAACTGTTGGGGGGTAGAGGTTATCGTTGTCAGGCCCCTCTCCTTTTGAATTATTCATAAGGGTCCACAGAGAAGCTAGTTGTTAGGACTGGTCCAGGCATAGATCAGCCTTTAGTTATGCTGCAATAGGCTGAGACTACCTTAGGTATCTGGAAGCAGTGTGGGAGGAAAAGACTCTTATTTATCAGGCTCCTCTCCTTTGGGCAAGCTTATAGCCAGGGCCAGCCTGGACCAGCTCCTAGTCATGCTGCTATGTTTAAACTCCTAGCCCCACTCGGTAACTAAGATCTCTGAAAGCAGTATTGGAGGTAAGGCCTCTCTTCACTTTGAAATCATAAGCTAGGATCCTCTGAGAAGATAATAGTGAAGACCAGCCCGTAGTTCTGCTGCTTTAGGTTTAGACTGCTTCCCTAGATACCCCAGCGTCTAAAATGAGTATGGGAGGAAGGGCCTCTAATTCTCTAATTATCAGGCTCTTTTGGATTATTAGGGTCAGCAGACAAGCTTAATGCTTGAGCTCAGACCAACCCACGCTGTCGGCCTCCTGACTCACTGAGTTTTTAGCTTCCCATTTTTGCTGCTGTCATCATTGTATCATCTCTTTGTCAGCATCTCTATGTATGTCATATTTTAGGATCGACACAGTTGCAACAGATGGTTGTTTTACTTTACTCAAGGTTTTCATTTTCAGATACCCTTTATCATGAATTGGTGCTTCCTAGATGGAAAAATGAGTGATTGTTGTGGGTGATTTGATTGTCCTCTACTGTAAAGTGGTGTTAACTATAAATAATGTCCAGTTTGAGACACGACATCTCTACTGGGTTGTATAGAGAGACTGCAGAGATGACTTGCTCTACTTGGTGCACATCATGCTGTCCTTCTGCAGAAGAGGGACTCTCATAGGCCCCCTTGTGGAGCCCTGAAATAATACTGTGTACATGTGTGCATGGACGTGGATGTCTTTACTGGATTTCTCCTCCAGTTCTGTTGGTTTGATTTTGTATATGAACAACCTGACATATGCAAAATGTCATTTCTGCATTTTTGTTTTACTTTGATGTGGTAACTATACTCGTCTGCATGTGTGCATTTGCAGTTCATGTCCAGACCAGGAACAGATGATGGGCTGCATGTCTGTCTGTGTGTGTGCATCTGTGTGTGTGTGTGGAGGTCCCTCTGGCTCCCATGGTTTCTCTCTCTATCCCCTCCTCCTCCTTCGTCTCCTTTTCCTTCTCCCTCCCTCCCTCCCACTCCCTTCTCTCCTTCTCCACTTCTTCCCCCAGCTCTCGGCTAGCTCAAGCGCCACCTCCCTCTCTGCACATGCAATAGCACTCTGCCCTGAGCCGTTTTAACCCTTAACACTGACTTCTGGATCTTTGTGAGATTAAGTTTGAGCTTTTGGAGAAGAGTGAGGTCACCGTGGTCAATCCTAACTTTGGAGCTCAGGTTTATGGCCAAAGTGTTGAGATTAGACCGGCTTTGATTGGAGGTTTAAGGTCAAATTGGCTGCGATAACTGGGGTTTAGGGCTTGGACCGGGTTGAAAGAGGTCTGGTTTTCATGGTATGGTACAGTAAGTTAAACAGATGTGGAGACTTCATCTGTATGTGTGTACCTCCTTTACAGTTGTGTTCAGCGAAAAAGAACAGCCACAAATTACATGCTGTCAATAACAGCCGCTGAAATGTATCCTCTTCCCATTAATACATTTTCTATAAAGTTTTTGCTGCAGCTTGTGAAACTTTTAACATGCATATTGCGCTTTATGAGCCAATGAATATATACACGGGTTTAGAGAGAAGTTTGAAGTCGTTTCCAGTTCCTGATGCATCATGAGACGGACTGAAGATTCATAATTAAGTGAAAAAAGCGACAGCTGAAGGGTACCGCAGCTTTGTCTGGCTGTCTGGTCGGCTCAGATGAAGGGTGTGGTTTAATATCCTGTTCCCTCTGTTCTTTTCTGTCTTCATTTCTCCCTTTGCGTGGTCCGAGATACTAAATGTGGGCTGCATTAGAAGTGAGGAATCATAAAAAAAGAGGCTTGCATTATGTATTTGAGTGAGTTGACTTCACTTTTAATGGAAAGCAAATAAAAGAACAGAGCAAAGCTTTTAGGAAAGGCATCAGGGAAAAGTAACAACAGTGAAAAAATTAAAGTCATGGTGCATCTGAGGAGCTTTGCCACCATCTTTAAAGAGAAGGATAATGTTTGATGAATGGTGCGCTTTAAGCTCAAGCTGTAAACTTGGAAAGCAGTCTGATAAATCATAGAAAAATAAAGTCTGGAGTCGCTTTTTTTGGAGGGGGGGATTTCAGGCACAAAATTAAAGACCCAGACAAAGTAACTTTTCATAGGAGCATAACTCTGGCAGACAGGTGGCTTACACTTGACAAAAGACTACAAGTGGGTGCCAAGAAGGAAGCACCCTTACTACTACTAATCCTGCAAACCTCCTGCTGACTTAGGATTGAATTTGGGCCGGCATCCAGCACAGGATGCAGGAGGTACACAAATAAATTTGGCGTCTGCCAAACTACTTAAATGAGCACATGTTACGTGTGTGACTCCCACGCACAATCGCAGGTACGCATTAAAGAAGATAAACTGATGGAAAGCAGAAGAAAAAAAGACAAAGTAAAGGAAGAAAAGGCAAAAATGAGGCACAATTAAGAAGAAAAAGGGTTTTCCACAGGATCCAGGTGGACATGTGGTGTTGCAAGCCGGGGTCAGGGTCCTGCTGGACCGTAGGGAGGTGCCGGTGAGCTCCCTGCCCAGGCAGAGCTCTGCTTTCTGGACACACGCTGAACCAGAGGAGCCTGGATCCCTCCTTTCCTCGACTCTCTTCTTCTTTTTCTTCACTCCCCCCTCCTCTTCTTCCCTCCCTCTCGTCCCCCTCCTCCTGCTCCTCATTCTCAGGCCCTGTGGGTGCAGTGCCACGTCGCTGAGTGAACGTATTAGAGTGAGGGAGAGAGGGAAAAAAGAGGGAAAAATGCAAAGCACCTCCACGTGTGCTAATGCATCTTCTCCACTTCTCTGTCTGCTCTTCTCTTACACGAAAAAAATAAATCACTTTATGTTTAGTTTAGGTCCAATACTTTTATATAATTGCTGAAGAAATTCATTACAGTGATTTCTCTTTTCTTTGTAGCTCTTATGACTCATGTCTCTGTGTGTGTAGAAGTTGATTTTGAGTGTGTGGCACTCTCACTGCTGAGTTTCAGGTCTGATTCAGGCTTTAAATAAACACTTTTCACCACAAGATAAACTTCCTGAAGCATATGCATTTTAAATGCCACACTTTCTTACTTGGCAGCTGGAAAAGAGCCAAATTAAAGCTGCTGCGGCTCATTTTACACTCTAAAAACAGAGGCGGCCCCTTCAAATCTATTTTCTGAGGCATTACTGCCACCTACTGGATATTTTGTAAAAGTGGTTTATAGAGACTTCACTGTATGGTAGCTAAATAAAAACAACATGAGGTACCACAAGTATAAGCAGCAATAAAGTAGGAAAACAAGTTTGTCTTGGAGATGTAATCTTTTGAATTTGTTTTCTTTATTTTGTATCTTTCGGTTTTTGTCTTTAAATCTAAGACTCTTTAAGGCATAACAATTTATTAGACATTGGATCAACAAAACTTTGTTTTGTCCAAATTCTTTTTACACAAGAGTTTTAGGGTCAGGGATGATCAAAAAGAAAGGGTAGACAGTTTTCTTTATCATGCATTTCAACAAAAAAAAGAAATGTCATTTATTAAGTTAAAATAATTTTAAAAAAACTTCAGTTTGGTATTGAGAAAAAATTAAAGATATCAAGAGAAAATGTTGAAATGTTGAAAAAAGTTAAATTTTGATGTTGAGAAAAGTTGAAATGCCATGTCAAGAAAAAAGTGAAACTTTAATGCAAAGAAAAGGAAAAAAATTATGTCACAAGGAAAAAGGTTGAAACTGAATTTTTAGAGAGAGATTAAATTTAGTGTTCTGAAAATGTCAAAAAATTGTTATTCACTGTCATGATAAAAGCTGAAATTTGATTTGAAGAAAAAATGTGAAATACAAAATCAGAAAAAAATGGGTTTCAGTTACCTTATAAGTATTCAATGTCAAAAAAAAAAGTTGAAATTGATGTCAGGAAAAAAATTGAAATCTCTTGGAAAAAAGATAATTATTTTTAATGTAAAATGCTGCCATCTTTGTTGTTTACAAGTACACCAAAGCAGCGCTCTTGTGTCATCACTTTAAAGAAACGTCTGTGATTTGGTTTGTCCATCTGTCACTGATGGGGAGTCTTGTGGAGTGACAGCAGTGATCTTGGTGCATCTGGGGGCATCATGGAAATGTGTCAACTACACGTGATATTTATTGTGCGCACAAGTTAGTATCTTGTGTCACTTTTTCACAACTGTCTCTGTGGGACTTCAGGTGCCTTGCAGAGTTGTGATAATTACATTTTATGTTTATTGTTGAGGTCAGTTGTATAGTATAACATGTACAGCTCAATAACAGCGCCCCTGTGCAGTGTGGACACATTAATCATGAGCGCTGGTTATGCGTCATAAACGTTTCACTCGTACAATATGATTCGACTTTCTCTTATATGAATACGACCTAAAACTCAGCACAGCACAAACAGAACCAAACAACAAACCTGACTGTGATTTGCTCTTGGAAACTGTTAAAAGTGCTCTTCAGTGGAACATTTGGACCAGCGTCCATCTGTGAGTCTGGGAAAACTGACTTAGAGCTTAAACTGTAAACCCTCACTGCTTCCACTTAATCATTCCCACAATTTTCCCCTTTCAGTAAGTACCAGACAGGGATTATGAAGGGCAAACAAAACTCCAATGAGTCCTAAACTCCAGACTGCTGAGTCTCTCTTTTGATTTATTAGATTCAACAGAGCCGGACAAATAATGAACATCAAATATTTGAGGCTGACATTAATCTGTGTCCAAAAAACTAGAGGCAACATTGACAGAGTACCAAGACACGTATTTTTGAATTTTATTCACCACTTTTGCCTTAAAAATGAATACATTCTATTTGTTTTTTAAAAGATCTTAAATATTTTATATCTCAATATTTTTTAACACCAAAACTGGTTTTCTCATAATAACAAGTTGCGCCTGATACTGCAGCTAATTTTCTGTGAGAACATCATAGTGGACTTTGCAAAACTCATGTAGTCTCTCTACCTGCATATTCTTTCGTCAAAGTGCAGGTTTACTTCTGAATTCAGAATTTCATAACTATGTTTTTGTTTAACATTTAGACAAATACATTATTCACATTCCTGGCAAAAATAGGACTTATAATAAACAAATTAGCATTTGGATTATGCTCTGCCAATAGACCTAATAACTAGATGCAGCCTGCTTATTATTCGAAACAGCTCTGCTTTGGAAACTCCTCATGAAAAACGAACCTGGAAACCCTGGAAGTGGCATAATTTTGGTTATAGATGACCTTGGCTGGACTATTCTTGTTCTTCCTACAGTCAGCTATTGTTCTCCAAACCTGAGGGCATACTGGGTTGGCAAAAACAGCCTGTAGGAGGAGGAAAATTAACACAATGTAAGCAGCCAAAAATGGAGACTTGGGTGGGTTTTTATTAGCTTGAGTCTGTTTGGCTTCCTTGCATCACTTTGGCTCTTGGAAAAGTCTTTCAAAATGAGAGCCTTAAAGAAAATTAATTGTTTAATTTTTGTGAATAAATTGTTCGAGCAGCATGATCTTTCCTTGGAGTTCTAGTAGAAATGCACCACCTGAAATCCCCGTAGGCACCTGAAAGCCTGTGAATCCAGCTTCCCCTTATCGATTAAATTGTGTTCCAGCTGCACTCGAACGAGCCCGCTGAGACCCTGACTCTTATTCCCCCAGCAGAAAGGGTCTCGAGGCACTGATTGAATCCTGTTGTGTGTGAGTGCCACAGAGTGCAGAGCTCGTGGGAGCTGTCTGGGCACTTGGCGTAAAGTGTTGTGGCACAGATCTAACTGGTGCAGGACCGGCAATGCTGCGAAGGCCCCTGGTGCTACTTTGAAGATTTTATTCCTTGCTAAACCCAAGTGTTCCAGGTTTTTCAAGGTGTTGAAAATCGCTTTCTTAATGGAGGTTATGAGATTTCCCTCCAGATTTAGAGTTTTAAGTGAGCGAGGAAGGTGTTTTGGCACTTGTTTTAGTTTGTTGCCTTCTAAATTGAGGCTTTCCAAATGAGTGGCGTTGACCAGAGAGTCCCTAGAAAGACCTTTGTTCGTGAGTCTGTTCGCACTCAAATCCAACACCACCAGCTCTGATTTTCCATCAAAAGCTCCACCTCTGAAATGCTCAATGAGATTCCCTTTAAAGTAAAGCTCCTTGATTGAAAGGGGTAACCCCAGAGGAACTGACTTTAGCTGGTTATGATCTAGGTTCAAAGTTCGCAGGTTGGACAAAGGAGAGAGCACCTTGTCATGGAGGGATTCAGATCCGTTCCCCAGGCTGTTGTTACTGAGGCTGAGAACCAATAGGCCCGGGCAGCGTGCCCAGGCAGCCTCTGACATCCCACTAAGGTGATTGTTGTCCAATCGGAGCTCTTCAAGAGACACAGGAAGGTCGTTTGGCACGTTTTGTAAAAGGTTCCTGTCCAGGTAGAGCCGCTTCAGAGCTGGGATCCCCTCAAAGGCTCCCTCTATGGTGCCATCTCTGAGCCGGTTGTTGCTCAACACTAGAAACTCCATGGAGATGTATTCATTGAGCAGGTCCAGCTGGATGCTGTCAATGCGGTTGTTCATGAGGAGGATGTAGCGGGCATTATAAGGAATACCATAAGGCACCTTGTCTACACCTTTGTCTGAACACTGGACAACTCTGGAGACACAAAGACAGAAGGACACATAAAGTCAAGCATGGACTTAAATAATTACAACTCATGGTGCTTCACAACATATGAATGAATTGGTACCTTTCCAAGAATAAAGTCAGAAAAACAAGGGTTGTAAATTCTCAAAATGTAACCCTTTTCTTACGATTCTTTCCTTTCAACAGTATGCCTTTATCATTCCTATTTTTCAACTTCATCCAAGAAATAATTTTTTTTTTCCTTTGCAACGTTTTAAAATAAGAAAATAAGTGTTTTGATATCAAAGATTATAAACATTTTAAGATGAGATCAAATGTGTAATTAATTGTGATTAATGTAATTTAGTAGTTAGTTGTAATTTGAAAATTTTAGATTTGATTGCCCAAGTGTTAATCAATAATAATAATAATAATAATAACAATTATTATTATTATTATTATTATTATTATTATTATTATTATTAGTAGTAGTAGTAGTAGTAGTAGTAGTAGTAGTAGTAGTAGTATTTTTTTTCTTTTTTTTTCTTTTTTTTTTTTTTAGTAGTAGTAGTATTGTCATGAATTAAGCCATCCTATGAGCTATCAAACATATCACTATTGTAAATAATTTCTTTCACCCCTCCCACCTTTTTTTACCAGTTCAAATAACAGTATTTTAAAAACATTGTGGCTTTTCACTGATTGTCTGATTCACTATTTTAAGTCATTAAAAATGCATTTTTATAGACTTCATCTATCCATGACCTGTAAAAAGCTCCTCATTGTAGCTTTATTATCTCACCTTCCATAACAAACACACTCAGGAGGACAGTAGTCGTCCTTAAAATATGGGAAGTGAGTTGGTGCGCTGACCTCCTTCTTCTTCTCTGGTGGCTTTTGGGTTTTGTTGTCCTTCTTCCTTTTCTTTTCTTTGGACTTCTTTGTGGTCTTGTTTTTACCACTTTTGTCATTCTTGGATGGCCTGTTTGAAGATGTTTTAGCATTTGGTTTGGCTGGTTGAGATAGAGGAGGTGTTTTGTTTCGCTTCACATTAAATTTAGTGTCATTTTCCACCGGCTTAGTTTGGCCTGTTGGTTTCACCATGTTTGGATTGCCCTCTGCTGGTTTAGTCCTGGGATTATTTTCCTTTCTTTCCAGAGCAGGATGTGGCTCTTTCAAATCCTTGGGCTCTTCTTTTGGTTTTGGCGTAGCTGCCGGCACCTTTGAGACAAATTCGTCCTCTTTTGTGTTTGTTTGGCTGGTGGTTTCCTCCTTCCATGCTGGTTTAAACAACACATTTTTGACCATTACATCTTCTACATGTGCCCTTTCGTCCATTTCATTCTGCCTGAGATGATGTCCAGGACTTTGAAACACTTCAGAGAGGAGATCTTCAAGCAGAAAAACAGACCCCCTCACGCCAGGATTCACTGTTATATCTGAGCTCTTTGTAGGGTTTGGAGTCAAAGATGGAGGTGAAATGAGAGGGCTAACTCTGGTGGAAGAGGTCAGAGGTTGAGAGGAGACAGGAGGAGCTTGTGAAGTTGTAACCAGAACTGATGAAGGGACATTAAAATGAAAAGGAGGAGGGTTTGGGGACAGGGTGACAGCTTGAATTGTGGCAGGAATCTGGATTTCCTTCCCCTGATGAGTAGAGGATGTGCTCAGAGGAGGTGTGAGATTACTAACCACAGTGTGAGCTCCCTTTCCTCTATCTCCTAAATCCTTTTGGTTCGCATATTTTATGTTCTCCCCTTCATCTCCTTCTTCCTCTCTTTCCTCATATCCTTCCTCCTCCTTGTGGGGAATGATCCCTGCTACCAGCCTGCTCTGTCTTTCCTCCTCCACCATCTCTTTCATCACTTGATCGCTCTTCTTGGACTTTTCATGCCCTCTGTCTACAGCTGCTACAAAAAGTACAAAAGAGAGAAACAACTCAGAAGTGTTGGGAACAAGTTGTAGGAAAGACAGAAATATTCTTTTTTACAGAAAAAAACAGTGTCCAATAAAAATGTGGAAAATAGAAACACATTTAAGCGGTTAGGATTGGCTTTGTTAGACCTATGAGACAATTAGCGCTCAAGTGTTTATGGCATGTTGTATGTAGGGGTTCACCGTTCTGTGAGAGACTATGTGAGCAAATTGGTTTCATTTCATAACGTGAAATTCCATGGCAAAGAAATCAGAAATGTTATCATCAACATAATATGCAAAGTATTATTAATATACATACAGTACCTATTATTAAGACAGACATAGAATCAGGACAGAAGAGACAAGGGCCTAAAACCAGTACTGGCTGACCGGGATTTTCAGACCCTCAGGAGGCACTGCATTAAAAACAGACATGACTCTGTGGTGGAAATTATCGCATGGGCTCAAAATCACTTCTATCAAATCACATCTATCATATCTATACTTGAGGATGAAGTTTGTATCTGCATTCACAAATATAAGTTTAAACTGGAAACTGTTATTAGCATGATCAAGATACACCAGTGGTTATCCCTGGTTTGAGCCCATTTAGATGGAAAAGAGGAAAACTGTCCTGTGGTCTGACAAATGAAAATCAGACAGTCTTTTTGGAAATCAGGGCTGCTGCATCTTTCACTCTAAAAAAGAGCCTCCAGGCTTGTTCTCAGCCAACAGTTTAAAAGCCAGCATTTGAGGTGGTACAGGGATGTATAAGTGTTCGGGACATGGCAAATTTCCTCAAATGAGAGGGTAACATTAATGCTGGACAACATCCAAACAGTGTTTCCTTAGGAGGAGACCTTGCACAATACAGGAAGAAGATGCCAAACTTCATTCTGCACATATTACAACAACGTGGCTTTGTAGTAGAAGAGTCCAGGTATTACACTGGCCTGCCTGCAGTAACAACTTTTAACCTATTGAAAATATTTGACCCATCATGATACTAAATGGGACAACATTTCACTCTCAAGACTTTGGTCAGAGCTATGTTTAGCATTATAGTGCATCACCTCTTCCAACAAGCTGTTTTTATGGTATCAAATTGAAAATGAGCATGCAGTATAACCTTGTAAAAAATTTGCAAATCATTTAAATGATCATTATTCATATGTTACACAGCCTCCCAATTCTTTTAAATCATTTTTAATTCAAAGAAGAGTGCTCTGTTACATGTTTGACATGGAAAGTGATGCTAATGTCAGACTCACATGGTTGCAGTATGTATGAATTTCCAAAAACATTGAGGAACATAAGGAGCAGCAGAGTGAAAACGTCCATGTTATCTGAAAGAAGATGAGAACAGAATTAAGGTTGAAAGGATAACAGTTTTCTAACAGAAATGTCCTTTACAAGTTGTCCTTCAGATACAATAAATATCTAAAAAAAAATACAGAGCTGTATTCTTACATTTTAGCTCGCTGATTTGGAAGATTTTATCTTCTTACAAAATGTTGATCCTAATTTTTGTAGGTAATTTAATGTCCACTTGAATTTGTCTGTTTAGTCTCCCAAACAACTCAACGCCAAATAAAATGTAAAGCTCTTATGATGAGTTTTTTAACGTTCATGAAATAGATTGAAATTTATATTATTTTCATAATATTCAAAATCAAACAAGACCATCAGCTACATGTCTGACAGTGTTTTCAGCAGCTTTAATTTGTCGTAACACTTTTTGATTCATTTTTTTCTTTCATTTCTGACTTCATTCAGACTTACAAAACAGTTTGACTTTGAAATGATTATCTTTTTCTGTACAGCAGTGGTGTCTGTGGGCAGTGAATACAAGTCCAACACAAAATCACACAACCTAAACATATCCAAAGTTTCCACTGTCCCATCATGTTGATTTATGAGTGTTTCTTACCTGACGTGTGCAGCCACCGTCCTGCATGTGTCCGTGTGATCCTCCTGACCCTGCACCTGCCTGTCTATGAGAACCAAAGAAGAAATACTGCAACCTTTGAACCATGCACCACCGTGGACCACCTCTGGAAATATAAGTCTTTGCTGATCTATTCCATCACGGCGTCTGTACGGAGAGTTTTCACACACACACTCTGGATGAGCCGAAGTTAATGACTCCTCAAATGGCCCTAATCTGCAGGAGGATTCTCACACGTACCCTCAACGTCAGAGGAATCTGGAGGATCAATAGCGGGAAAGAGGGGCAGCTTTAGGGGGCGAGGGGTCAGAGGTGACGCTGGGTTTTTACAGTGGCTTCTGTTTACTCCACTGAGGGGAAACATTAGCATCCCAGTGGTTATGTGAGGATGACAAGAAGGGCCTGGAAACTGCTCGACCTCTGACCTTGTATGCTAATAATGTTGAAGACATCGGGAAGTCTGTGTTTGCAAATGCAAATGAGGATCTTTCATAGGAAATGCCGGGTTGTTTTTAACCCTGTTTTAAACTCTGAAAATCATAAATACAGATTTATTTTTTTGTAAAACTAAAAAATTTTGTCAACAGAAACCCGGGGCTCTTTCATCTATAAAGACGTATCATGAAGGCTTGGAGCACCTGATGCAACAGTAGCTAACAAATGCTAATTGGTCAAAATGGGGGCATGAATTGCTCACTTCAAACATTTTTAGGAAAGGCATAGCTTTCTTGTCATTTCAACAAATTTTTAACACAATTTTTTTATTGTCTTGAGGTATTTTTGTTCATTTATTTTGAAAAAATCTCGTTTTTTTCGCTCCTGCAGTAATGTGAGGAACTATTATCAATCATTAGCAACTTTCTTTATATATATAAATGATTCCAAAACAGCTGTACTCAAAAACAGTCACAGTAGGCGGTGATATTTAATGGAAAAAAAATGAGCTACCAAAAAAAAAAAAGAAAAAAAGAGGCTGAACTGCAATACTTGTAAAGTCCACAGAGGGGCAGCACACACCCATATATAACCATACGAGTTGCCAAGGAGAGCAGTGCATAGCATATTATTGCATGGGGAAATACAGTGGAAGAAGAGTGTTTTTACTGTTGGGTCTGTATCTGCGCCCAAAGCTTCTGTTTCCTGTGAAATCGTATCATCCATATGAATGCTGGATATAATAAAAAACAATTAAAATAAAAGCCCTGAAGAAGAGCTGTAGCTGTCCTAACACCTTCAGCTATGGCATCTCATTTCCTGTGGAGGGTGACGTAATGTAAAGGAGACAGGGTGTGAAAACAGCAATAATGGCAGAGGCAGAAGTGGGGGAAGTGTTGCATTATAGATCTGCACCTGTTTCAGGCTAAAAATACCACAGTGTGTCAGTGTGTACGTTGTCGTGCCAATGCTGTTTTCCCTCCTCTCTTCAGCTTTTCTAAACAAAAACACTTTGCTAAAGAGAGAAGTTAAGATCTGTCAGTTAAACAGTCACTTTATCAATCTCTCGAGCTTCAAAGATCCGGTCCACGAACAGAGCTGCTGATGTAAAATCTTCCTGTCTGGACTTTTACCTCCGAGCTAAATCACCTCTGCGGTTGGATGGTTGTTCCTTAGAGCATCCAGATGCCCTGACAGCTGCTCTACCATCACACTAGTCGCCCCTATCTTGTTGTGTTTTTGTTTTCCTTTTTTGGCCAGGCTCCAAACACAAGGAAAACCATGATAAACTCACCAAAAATCACATTTTACCCCCAACATTTTTCCACATTTGCTTCACACAGGAGGCTCTTTAATAGCAGTTATAGTTTTACAGATGGCTGGGGTATGTATTTTAATTATATCAAGTTGAGTTCATTGGCAAATATTGCCAATTTGTAGCTTGGCACTGGTCTAACTGGAAATGCAGTTTAATCAGAGGTGAGCACCGAACTAAAACTAAAGTGTTTGTGAGGAGTTTGTTGTAAAAGAAGCAACAACTGAGGTATGAGGGGGTCCATTAGTCCAGCAGTTTAGTTTGATATGATATGATTAAATAAGTTTAATATGAAACTATATGATATAATAGAAAAAAAATACATTTCCACATTATGATGTACTATCTAATATGATGAGGTAAAATACAACACTACATCATGAAACAGAACTAAAGCAAGAATCAAAAACAATACACAACACAAAACAGGTAAAGTGCTACACTATGATACATAATGATACTAGGATACAACAAGACACAATACTGCACATACAACATGAAATCAGTGTTTTATACGATACAATACATTAGGATGCAGTACTACACCATACTGCATGATACAATACAATTAAGGAAGATATGATACAATATAATAACATATATAACACAATGCACTTTGTCGTACACTTTAGGAAATATGTCTTGGTTCTAAAGTTGCACTGTGGTATTTATGCTCCAGTATGATGGGATGTGATAGGACAAGTTATGATACAACACAAAATGAATCTGCACTGCACTCATCAAACTGCTTCTACAACCGACAAGTACAAACACTACAAACACCAATAACGATTCACATGCAAACAGAGTCACACTTACCAGAAAAGTATTACAACCTATGAGGACCACAGCGCACACACGACAGCACAAAGAGCATTACAATATAGTTTATTTGGTAATTAATTAGGAAATTATCACACCATCTATGTGTTACAAGATCATAGTTTTATTGCTTGTATTTTAACTGGCAAACAGACTCACACTTACTCATAATTGTACAAAGTAAACAGTGCCTGTCATATGTAATACTAATATACTTTACAATAGAGTATTATATTCTTTTACGCTTATCTCGTTAAATTTATTAAATGCATGTTTTCAACAGCAGGAGAGTAGATGCTTACTCTGCTCCCAGGTGTTCATTTGATCTGTTTTCTTCTCTGTTTCTGGGTGTAACTCTGTGGTTTTATCTCCAGGCTCCATACAGCATATGATGCGTATTGATGTAGGTAACGGTAACTGGATATTTAATTGATGACAACATTAACACCACTTGCCCTGAGGTTTTTTCTGTTTTTCTGAAGAACATAAAAAGACGAAGCATCAATAGTAAGTGGCCTGGGGGGAAAAGAGAGAAAAACTGAGTAAAAATTAGAGAAGCACAGTAGAAGAAGAGCTCTTGAGTGACAGCACAAGTGGGCGAAAACAAACCCTCCCCCCTCTAACCATCCCATCTGCTCTGAGTCTGACTGCTGGCAGTAGTGGCGGCGGCAGCAGCAGCGGGGGGTTAACAAGGGCAGAGGGCAAAGGTCACAGACTGTGATCAATTTGTTGGCTAAGAGCGTCAGACCCAGTTTTGTGTGCAGTGCGTGACTGTGGGGACAAAAAGCACACAACGAAGACGGTCTTTGCCCTCCTATAGGAGCAGATCTCCACAGTTCACGTGTTATGCAGAAGATCGACTGGACAAAATGTGCTGCAGAAAAATGCTTATGTTTCCAAAAATGAACACTGGGATCTATTATTTTGTGCAGTGGGTGCAGATTTTCCTTTTAAAGATTCAAAACAAACAAACAACATAAAAGAGAGGCTAAGTCAATCTATGTTAACACATCTGTGCCTTTAAAGCTCCTATTTGGAAGTCTAGGTTTCTGTTTTTTATCGTAAGTCATATAGCATCAATTGACAACAAATGTTCACTCAAGATTTTTGAGATCCAATCAAATAAAATCCAAAGGCTGACCCTGATTATCCGTCAGTTTTGCATCAATGTCAGTTCATTTCTGTTGAAGCAGTACAGTTAGAAATTGCACAGGCTGTTTTCGGTCCTCTGCATGCTTTCATGCTCAGAACATCCAAATATCAGTCCGGCCTTTTCCCCAGAGATGGTTTAGGAGTCATCGTGAGCGAGAGGCCCACAACAGTGTTTTCTTAACCCTGCCTTGAATAGCTCCACCAAATTAAACCTGTGTTTTTGTTTGGTTTAGAGTTCTCGTGTGTTTGAAATTTCAACAGAGCAAAGAGATAAAGAGAGGAGAGCTCGGAGAGGAGGACAAATATAAATTAAAAGCAGCTTTGAGGCCTTCTTTAGATTCAGCTCAGAAGTTTGAGTGAGTAAATGCTTTAAAGGAATCGAATTTATTTTCTCAGAGTAAATGAAGTTTATCGAGCTTGCAAGTCAATAAACTCTTTGTAAACAGGGTTCATTCGAATTTATTTATAAAATAGTGTGTAGATTCCTCACAAAAAAGTTTCAAAAGCCAAAAACAGGAACTGTGTGTGCAAAAACCACACTGTTGTGTATTGTTCTTTTGACACTGTTATACACCTAGAAAAAATCCTCAAACTCTGCCCTCTTAATGCCCACTTTCATCCATAAATCATCGATGCAAAGCACCTTATAAATGAAAATGCACACATGAGCTAGCAGATCAGAGGTTCTTATATGGTGAAACACAGAGAGAACGAAATCAGAGTTTATGTCAGCAATCGAGGT